TGACAATAATGTGTGTAGGTAGTGAGTAATTGAACTGCAGTCAGGAAGTATTGTTGAAATTAACGTTCGTTGTTGGAGCATTTGTTATAGAGCGACTGTTGAAAATAAGTGTATCGGTAAAGTTATATTCAGAAAGAATAAACCAGTTTTATTAAGTAAAGGCTTGTGTCGTTAAAGTTTCGTGGGAACGAATTTACGGAAAATCAATTAACAAACGGAGAAGTAACAATATGATATGAAAGTTAAGACTTACAAAAAGTTCATATTCAGATCCGGTCTGAAGAGTCTTGTTGGTAGTTATAATTCCAGTTTTTGGATGTACATGAAAAATGTTTCCAGCACTTGTTTTTTGTATCTTATATTCCACCAGAGCATTGGGACCTTCATCGGGATCGGTAGCAACAACCTGTGAAAACAAGTTACCAATGATTTACTGATGACAACATTGAAAAACTGATTTCATTATAAGAAACATGTGGAAAAAATATTTAAAAAAAATGTTAAATGTGTCAATGGGTGCACCAAAAATTGAGGAAACTAGTTTAAAATGGGCATGGTGTAAAAAAACTTCCTTTGTAGAACCTTGCAAGGAGGCATGTCCAACATTCGGTCCATGCCTACTTTGTTTATTCTTTCTATCCTGTATGAACAAGCCAGGAGGACTAAACTTATCATATTTAGTTATGCTTGTCATACAATGAATAGAGATTTCTGTGAATCGATTTATTGGAAGTCTATTTATACGACACCAGAAGAATCAGATATTCGTGTGGACCCGTAACTTGTATGTTGTTTTTTTCTTTACAGCTTATCTTTCCTTTTCCAATTGCATGAGAAGACAACAGGATTCATACATTGGCTATATAGGTGGATTAAAATAACAAATCCTAAGACGTTTCTGTGTGTCAATGTCATGGATTTGTTACTACATTTACAAAAGTAGACAAGTCATAAACACACTTTTGTATGTACCCATAAGCTGTATAATATCATGAATACAGAAAAATGAAGTAGGCATGGACTAGATGTTGGACACATGCCATTATGAAGTTAAACAGAGTAAGTTTTATTACACCATGCCCATTCCTACCTTGTTTCCTCACTTTTTGGTGCACCCATTCTTATACCTTCATTTTTTTTAATAGTTTTTCCCACTTTTTTTCATACAAGGTGGAAAGATCTTATGCGTCATTCATTTGTGTTGATATCCTGTATGTATATCATCAGTGTGGGTGTGCACCATAATATTATGATATGTGCAAATAATGGTGTTTGTGAGTATGCATGTGTGCTGTACAAGTGATGGCATTCACTCTATAGTGTGAAATGCCATTGGAGTGATGTAGTGTGAGTTACGGTTGTATGTATATTGAGGGTTGATAAATTAGTTAATTAATTTAATTAACTACTTCATAACTAGAATTTCATGTATGTAAAACTGGTGTAGATTGGCACTTATGAAAGAAAATATGTTTAAGTTGAACTTTGTCCTTGTTTGTTTACATGTAAGTACACTGGTAATTATTACAACACTGTGTAATTACATGTAATTTTCGGTCTGTTTTTACTCCAGCATCAGTTAACTCAGGGAAACGGATTTGAAGTTTTGTAAACCAATAGGTGTACCTTGATAGGAATATCTTATGTCCCTATTTTTGTATAGCAGTGCGACTCATCAGTTGGCTCCCACACCTACTCAGTATACGGAGTGAGCGAGCAGATGTATGTATTTTAAAATGGTGTCCCTGTTCAAGGTATTACCTCATTTTTGCCAAATACTTCTTCTTTTTGGTGATGTTTAGTATAGAAAAACGCTAGCACTAACATGTGGTTCCTGTACTATTGTTCCACTTGGTGCACTAATAACTATGGAAAGACTGTTTGTTACACAGCTAGAAGCGAGCAACAATGTCAGTCAGTCAGTCAGACTAAGAAATTTGTGGTTTTTGTGAATTTTTCATATCTGCTTTGCTGACTTTTTCCAGTGGTTCTCCGACTTCTAATTTTGTGTGTGGTTTGTTTATCATCTAAGGGTGTTTTTCGAATACTTATTATTTGGTTGTTAAAGGTGTGTATGAGTAAATAGCTTGTATTGTATATCTGCTCCATTCCTACTATAAGTACTACCATACTTTGACACACTGTTGATTTTGTAATGAAAAACAATTTAACTTAAAAACTTAGCATTGATATTTAAGTTTGTTCTTTTACTTGTGTTTGAAATGGTTAGCCATTTTGAGGTTCTCTGGTAGCCCATACTCGCAGCTTGATGTGTTGTTTTCTACACATTCTATTGAATATTAAAATATAATATATATTCTATATTCTTCAAAATATTTTTTTTCTTTCTATGATGTTCCCTTATTGGTTAGAAAATCTTATGCATTTGTAAACAGTTCATTTTTAGTAAGTTTTATTTATATACCTGTGCATTTCATTGGATATCTTTATGTAAAACTTGAATTTGAAAATTTTTGACAATCCAACTATGATTCCTACTCACTCGACAGAGATATCCTTCGGCCATTTTGTTAGATACCAAAACTGGACATCGATAAAGAGATTCTGTGAATTGTGGATCATGATCATTGATGTCTTCGACTGTAACCACCACTCGGGTGGTAGATGATAAAGATGGTTCTCCTGAATCACTCACTAGTATCTACAGAAGAAAATTCACTAACATCAGGTCAGTAAGCATAATGTCAAAAAACATATATTAATAATGGATCAGTAATCATGATCTTTAAATACCTATATATTAAAATTCATTCATAATGTTATAGAGTAGTTATAGATGAAAATCCATTAATAATGTGTAAGTGACCATGATCTCAAACAGTACCTACAGAAGAAAATCCATCAGTAATGAGCTTGTAATTATGATATAATAATACCTACATAATACAATCCTTCAATGATAGACTAGCAATAATGTAATTATAATCTAACAGTACCTACAGAAGAAAATCCATCAGTAATGAGTTTGTAATTATGATATAATAATACCTACATAATACAATCCTTCAATGATAGACTAGCAATAATGTAATTATAATCTAACAGTACCTACAGAAGAAAATCCATCAGTAATGAGCTTGTAATTATGATATAATAATTTGTTTGTTTGTTTGTTTTGAATTTCGCGCAAAGCTACACGAGGGCTATCTGCGCTCGCCGTCCCTTATTTAGCAGTGTAAGACTAGAGGGAAGGCAGCTAGTCATCACCACCCACCACCAACTCTTGGGCTACTCTTTTACCAACGAATAGTGGGATTGACCATCATATTATAATGCCCCCATAGCTGAAAGGGCGAGCATGTTTGGTGTGACGGGGATTCGAACCCGCGACCCTCAGATTGCGAGTCGAGTGCCCTAACCACCTGGCCATGCCGGGCCTAAAAGGTATTTAATTAATAGTTTTTGATTTTCAGTTTTGACATATTTTAGTCGTGTTTGTGTAGTTAAGCACAAAGCTACATAATGAGTTATCTGTGCTCTGCCCACCACGAGTATCGAAACCCGGTTTCTAGCGTTGTAAGTCCGCAGACATACTGCTGTGCCACTGGGAGGCGATATAATAATACCTACATAATACAATCTTTCAATGATAGACTAGCAATAATAAAATTATAATCTAACAGTACCTACAAAAGAAAATCATCAATAATCGGTCAGTAATTGTTTCTTTTTAGCTTATTTTACATTAGCTTACACTCTTTATTTGTAGACGTTAAGCAACAAGATTTGTGATATATATATATATATATATATATAATAAACCAAAGCCTTACAAATAACAAACACTACAATGCTTAGTCTCTTCTTGTTTTATTCTTCTTTATTTAAGTTTTTCTTATTCGTTTTGTTGACTTACAAGACCAT